AGATTGGGTATTAAAGAAATGAAAAGAAAGAACAAAACTAAGTTTGAAATTTTTTCTAAAAAAGAAAGAAAAGAAGAACAAAAACAAGTAATATAATTAGACAACAAAAAAGAAAAGGAAAAAGAAAAAGAAAGCAAAATATCTATTATTATTGTATAAGTGAACTTTAAATTTATTTCTTCTAACTTTATATGTCTTATCTCATTGTATAAAAAAAAAAAAACATTTCACTCACAACAACAAAATACAAATTTCTAATTGAAAAATAATTCCCAATTCACATAGCAAGAATATACAATAATGAAATTAGCCTTTTCAATAATGAGAAATTAGGTAAGAGAGAATAATTGTGCAAGAATCCTATTTTTGGGTAGTAAATTCATAAATGTGACTCAATTTTTTAGCAAGCACCAAAAATGCATAACGACAAGTAAAGGAATCAAGCAGAGAGCAAATTAACTCGTGCTAAAAACTAAAAAAATAAAAATAAGTAAAAAGAATTGCTTGATAAATGAGAAAGTAATATGAGAACTGCTAAACGACATAGAAAAATCAAAAAGACCCCCTCAAAATTACTCATAGAAACACAGATATATAGTAAACATTTTCTTGAGATATTAAACATTTTTATTGAATTTTACAAAATGAAATTTTTTTTTTCAAAAGTTACATGCACTTAAAGAATTACACAGTTAATCTATGTTATAATTGCATTCTAATTAATTTAAAATATCAGTTTTTATCCTTGCTATTTAGGTAAGATAATTAGAATATGGATAATTGCATTCTAATTAATTTAAAATATCAGTTTTTATCCTTGCTATTTAGGTAAGATAATTAGAATATGTAAATATTGTACGGCTCTTAAATTTGAAGAATCTATTATTATTATATGGAATTAAAAGGTTTTTAATTGTTAAAAAAAAAGAAGTTAGATAGGATGTTAAAAAAAAAGTGAATTAATTTTATTCAGTTTAGTTCGATTCAAGTTATTAATTTTGTTATTTTTTTGTGTGTGTTTTAAATATTAGGTTATTACATATTCTTAATTATTGGCAACTGTTTCTTGAGAAGTTTTGGTTGTGTTTTTCTTTATTTTATATTATTGTCGTTATTATTCTTAAATATGTTTTTATTAAATGAATGATGAGTTAGAATTGGAGGCCTAGTAGTGGCCATTTTGCCTTTGGAGAATGTGCCTTTGGAGAATATTGGTATGATATAGAAGTGTTTTAATTGAATGTCTTTTGTATTTGAAGATTTGATTGTGGTTGTGCCGAATATGCCTGGTGCCGAATTTTTTTTTAAAAAATTCAATATGTAAATACTACACTTACCTTTATTATAGTAGGTATAATATTATAACTTTGTATTGAAATAAATGAACTTAGTGATTTTACATTTAATATATAAGTTAACCTTTATTATAAGAAATAACCTTAGTTAATAAGTGTAAATTTGAAATTACATTATTGCAATATTCTTTAAGTATGGTTTTTAGACTAATGGGGCAAAAATTACAATGGGTGCCCTTTCACTCACAACTATTGGTAGAGATAAAAAATGGGCGGAAGGATGTACTAGAGAAGAGTTCCGAGGTGGATATTTTAGGACATTGTTCCTTGCACAGCGGATGTGTGTCGTTGATCGGGTTTTTGCAGATATAGAGATATAGATATATATAATGGGATGGTAATAAGTTGAGGTGTCCATGTAATTATGTGTCGAAATCAGAGCCTTCTTTAAGACGGTGTCATTTGTTGCAAAAATGGGTCGTGGGTTCATTGTGAAAATTATTACGAATTGGATACATCATGGTGAAGCTTGAGTTGCCAGTGTTCAAAATATATAGAGATAGATGGGGTTTAGAAGTATCAGCCTTATCAATTTTCTGTGGTGGTAATTTTGTCCAAGATATGGTAATCGATGCGAGTTTAGAGTACAATGTGATGGGATAATAATGGAGGAATCGCGCAAACTTAGCAGCACAGGTGACAATTAGTGTTCTTAACATGCAGAGTAGACTACCTCACCAGGTGTTGAACTGTGGGCCAGAATGAGGGTCAGTTCTGTCTGTTGTGGCACGAGTTACTACAACAGATGAAAGCGGAGGCACCATTTTTTAGTGGATCGATTGATTTGTGCAATTAGCAAAGAAAATGTTGCCCAGTCGGGGAGGCCATTAATGGTTTTATTAGTATCGGGTAACAAAAAAAATTAGTCTCGGGATTGGGAACTACCGGTCCACGAAAAGATTGATTCTATCAGTTATTGTTGTTGTTGTGTTTTTTCGGAACTTCCAGAGAAATGCAAGTTTTTGTATCTTTGCCAAGATATGCAATCGACGCGGGGTCAAGGAACTGGTAGAGACAAAGAGAGAAGGCGCGGATTTCCCTTTGTTGTTAGGTGTATTATCTATTTGTTGTAGTAGTCATGGTGCAATGCCTTGTTTGCAATGAATATGAATGATGGTATAATGGACTCATGCGTGGGCTCTGACGCGCTCGCGCCCATCTCTTGATAACATTTTGATAACATTCATCCTGTGTTTGCTGCTGATATGAGAAACGTTAGATTGGGGCTTTGTACTGATGGGTTTCAGCCGTTTGGCCAATCAGGATAATAATATTCATTATGGCCAGTCATTGTCACACCATATAATCTACCACCGTCAATGTGTATGAAAGATGAATATATGTTTTTGTGTGTTATTGTTCGTGGCCCTACTAATCCAAAACATAAAACTGATGTGTTTCTGCAGTGTTTGATTGTTGAACTTAATTATTTATGGGAATATGGGGTTGAAACATTCGATATTTTGACCAATCAGAATTTCATAATGCGAGCTGCTTTGCTTTGTTGCGCTTTGGACCAATCAGTTGTTTTCCAAGCATTTGGAATGTTATCTTGGTGGAGTACAGCTGGCAAATTGCTTGTCCTCATTGCATGGAAAACACTAATGCATTTAAAAACACTAAAGAAATGGAGGGTAAACAATGTTGGTTTGATTGTCATCAGCAAATTCCTTACAGAATCTCCCCTTAGAGGAGAAATCGACATGCTTTAGAAAGAAACACGAACTTATTGTTGAACGCCCCATCCACTGTGAAGTCTGGAGCTGAAATATTACAGAAATTGAAGATCTGGGGCCTTATGAGGGGCTTATGAAAGTTACAGAGTTAGGTGCAGATGAGGTAAATACAAGAATTGGCAGGAATAGCGGGTGGAAAATGTGCAAGTTGGAGCGAATTTTTCCACCCGGCTTCTTTGATTCTATGGAACATCTGCCGATTCATTTGCCCTATGAATGTCATTTAGCAGGACAGGTACAATATCGATGGATGTATCCATTTAAGAGGTGACTCAATAACATCTCATTCTAATGATTACATCATTTATTTGAACTTATACTTACATATTGGCATTGTACAATGACAGACACCTGCAAAAAATTTAAAAAAATGTGCGCAATAAGGCAAAGGTCGAGGGATCCATTTGCAATGCATATTTGGTGGAAGAAGCTTCCACATTCTGTTCACACTACCCAACATGTTTTCACCAAGCATCGGAGAGTGCCATGTAACGATGACGGAGGAGATCGCGTACAATCTGAGTTTGAAGGAAATCTAAAAATTTTCACTATCCTGGGCGTACGATTGGTAAATAAAAAAAAAGACGATTGACTGATGCAGAGATACAAACGGCTCAAACCTATATTTTATTGAATTGCGAAGAGATCACACCATATGTACAGTAAGTATACATAATGTAAACAGTCTAAACTTGACGTGGGCCGCTGTTAAATCATACTTATGCTAATTTGGTTCGTTGATAAATAGGAAATATATCAATATAATAGGAAATATATCATCTTTTGGCGGCTTCAAAATCCAATTTTGGACTGATACTGCAGTTGATGCAAAGCTGGAAGCACCGAATTTGCAGAATGGTTTCAAATATTAAGTTACTTTTCGATGTACAGAACATGGAATGTAGCATTTATTAAAATCTCACTCAATGTCATTATATTTTTCCATAGGCTCGAAGCTCGGGAATCGAATATTCATCAACGAGATTTTAATTACGGATCTGGCAGGGGCCATTTTAACCGGTTGCTAATGCCCTACTCTGGCTACGTTTTGTTTAAATGGTTATACAAGTTTCACAAACTGGGGTTTATTGGGAGAAGCGAAGAAGACAATGAACAATGGTGTGGTGCATTCAAAGGGATCAAACTACAGTGACGTGTCAACGATTTTTATGGGAAATTAATTGGTTGAGGTTTTAGAGTTAGAATATCCAGGCCTACTAATGAAGTGCACAATCTTATTCAAATGTGAATGGTTTGATCCTACGCTAAACGTTGGCATGAAGTTTCATCCTAAGTATAATCTGGTAGATGCTAATCAAAGAAGAAGATATACAAAGTATGAACCTTTTGTGTTGGCAATGCAAGCTGCACATGTGTACTATGTCCCATGTCCATCATTTAAACGAGATCGTTGCGATTGGATGGCAGTGTGTAAAATCAAGGCTAGATCAGTTGTTCATGCACTTGAAACCAAACAATCTGCTTCACTTCTGCTTCACTCGGCAGTATCGGAGCCATTTCAAGAAGTTAGGGTTTGAAACCGCAACCGATGCAAGTTGTTTGGAAGATTTTAACGATAGATTTGGATGATGAAAGCCGATCTTATGTTGAAGATCAGGAGCATCAGATGATGAAGAGGAGAAAGAATCAATCATGCATGGGTACCATCAGAAGACGAATATGAAGAAGAGGAAGCTGATGAAGAGGAAGGAGGAAGCAGATGATATTGAAGACACTTAAAACTTAGAGCAGTTTTCCTGTTACAAATTAATAAATTAGATATCTAATTAATATTATTAAGAAGAATTTCAATGGTATTGAACTTTCTTTTACTCAATATTTACCCTGTTCTTAGACAATTATAAATTGCAAATTTTTATCTAGGTAGGTTCTGATATCTGCAGTACAGATGGCTAGAGGCAGAGCGTTTGATTCAGATGCGTCCGGCAGTGGTTCGTGTGGAGGTCGTGGCCCAGGACACAGTGCCTGTGGAGGAGGAGGGACTATTCCTCCTTCTTCTTCAGGTACGTCTGGGGCTTCATCCTCTGCTCAACGACCAGTATTGCCGCCATCACTTCCTTCTGCTCTTTCCTCTTCTACCCTCGTTTCTGGACTAGTACAGTCTGCACCAGCTGCACAGTCACCTACTGTGCAAGGTAATCATAAATGTCATTACTATCATTTCAATTATTTATTAATTATTTATCTGCATTTATAGCATTTACTGTGCAAGGTAATCATAAATGTCATAACTGTCAATTTTTAATTATAGTATTAATTATCTAAAATTTATAAACATTTGTCACTTCTTTTGCAAGCTTTCATCAATCCACGTATCACCTCAGTTTGATAGGCGGGACAGTAAGTACTTATTAAGTTTTTCACAGGCACAGGTAATTTTGTTCAGAATTGGTGATGCTTTCGTGTAATTATATTTCATTTCTGTTTTTTTTTTCAGCATATATCCATCTTCTCGGACAGTGAGGCAAATTTTTGAGGATTAATCCAAGCTACAGATGCTGCATAAAGAAGGATACCTGGATGCGTGCCACAGAGGGCGACAAACTTTTATTGGGAGGAGTTTCAGGTACTCCTTTTGGTTTAAGTTTTATATCAAAATGCATTCAATGTTTTACCAATTCATTCAAAGATACGCTCCTTAGTGTTGAATAAGCTATATTTCCTTAGTATTGAAACGCTATATTTCATTTTTTGCAGAAACATTTCATATGGGACGAGGCCATTACGGCTATGCTGAAAGTGGCCTGGGAGAAGATATACGCTGATCGATATGCTGACTTCACCTATAGGATGAGAAGAAGCAGTAAGAAGCAGTAGTGCGTGTCTTAGGAGATATGGGAGATCTGGCAAAAGGCTTGGGAGGATCCTGCATTCAAGAGAAAGCGGGAGATATTTGCATAAAACAGGCACAGTGAGACTAGCAGTGATGGAGCAGGACCTTCTCGACACACAGGCAGATCAATATGTGCTATAGAGACAGCTCGATTATTAGTAATTGAACTAGTCCCTTTATATGAAACTGATGTTTAATGAAAGGACACTATATATATTAATATATCATGCAACAAAATTCATTACAGGCTAAACAATTAGGTCATGAGCGAAACCCGATTGAGGTGTTTACATACACTCACACGAAGGACCACGATCTTAATACGTTTGTCGACAGACATGCGGTGAGCGTCAATGTAAGTAACAATGAATGAATAATATTTACATTTTACCCTCTACTCGTTGCGAAGATGTACCAAAGTTCAATAATAATAAAAGCTTGCAATTGCATTGATTAATTAATTTTTTGTTTTTAGGAGAACTATAAGCTACAGCTCGGAGCGTATTATTACTTCTTCTCAGACCGTGAATCCTGAAGCTGAGTCAAGAAATTGACGAGGTACGTTTATCTTCGATGCTGTAGGGGGCGAGAAGAAGAGGAGGTATAGGGGGCGAGAAGAAGAGGAAGGTATACAGCATCGGGTCTCAGGCATCACAGTTTTACTGCGGCTCAGCAGCTCACGCTTCTACAGCTAGCGCAGAACCACAGCCCAAGCGCACTGACGAGCACTATACTGATTTACGGGCTCAGCTTGCTGATCAGCAGAAACAAATTGCAGAGCTTAGAGCGCATGTGATGCGGCTGTCCTGTGAGCCCGGTGCTGGTACTTCTTCCTCTGATCCTGCGCCTACTACAGACCGAAATGTTTCGACGTCTCAGCAGCAGCCACTACTGGCTCCTGATCCCGATGTTGCAGACGATACCTTGGTCACCCCTCCTGGCGCTACATCACATCCAGCAGGTACTCCTCCCGGCAATCCCAACATCGAATCCTGCAGATGAGACAGCAGCGTTAGATTTTGATTTTGGACCTTTTTTAGTTTTTCATTTTGTATTTTTGATATTTTGGTTCAGTAAATAAAAATTACATTTCTTTATATTGTTCTTGAATTTGCGTGTGTGAATAGTATATGTATATTGTCAATTTATCACAAGGTTGGCGGAAAAATTAATGGTTTCATAATAGATATTTACATTTTTTTTTTATTTTTTTTTTCACTTTTGAGACGTATTTGATCAACCAAAAAATTAAATTTTTAAATTTACATTTTTGCGACCGATTTTAAAAAATTGGGCGACAGATTGATATCCTGCGAATTTCGCACTCTCTCACCACACTCGCACACAGAGGATTGCGGGTTATTGCAAATTTTGAGAGTGGGATCGATAATATAGAGATAGATATCTTTGAGATGCATACTCCGAGACGAGAAATTTCACCTCCGCGTCTGAGAAAAAATTTGCAACCGAGTTGGCGGTCCTAACTAGAGGTGATCATCAACGTATATACGGCGCTCGATTAAGAGCAGCTGATAAATTGGCTGACCGTGTTGCTGTGCACACAATAGGTTTTGGAGGGGGTGTGTCGGTGTCGAGAAACATGGTAGATATTCTTTTGGTGGAGTGTTAAGTAAGTGCCATTCTCAATTATGTTACCTCCACGTGCTCTGAATATTGAGAGCGCAGCGTTCTTAAGATTTGTGATTGGATTTCTTGTTATTTTTTAGTTTGACTTCTTCATGTGCTACGGAGTGCAGTCATTGGATATAATCCTCGTGTTTCTCTTTCCTGTTTTTGTGACCAAGCCGGCCTCGCACATCCACTCTATAATTAAGAGGTTTGTGACTTCTAGAATCCATTAGACGCACGCTCACGTATTTTTGATCAGCGCTTGTGACATCATTCATTGGTACGAGACACAACAAGCTCTGTGATCATATACACAGTTTTCAGACCCAACAATTTTATTCTCTACAAAAGCCCAAATATAGAAAAATTATAAACCTACCAATCCGGAAAATTACCAACATTAAATTAATTAAGAATTAAAGGATTTTTATCATCGAGCATAAGGGTAAAAATCAAGCATTAACATGAACTATGATAATGAAATAATGATTGCCCCATGATATGAAATATTGTGAATGAAATGCTTATGAAATAATGGATGCTTATGATTATAAAAAGGTTATGACGTGAATTGTGATATATATTATATTATAATCCCTTTATCTCATTTTGTTTGCATAGTTTGACAAAATACGCATGTTAAAAATTTAGTCAATAAAAATTATTTTACCCTTTTTTATCCTTAAATATTAATAAAAATATTTCATTTAATGAACAATATAAATGTTATTAGAGGAAAAATAATTGTTTAAATGCATAAATTTAGGATATCTACAAAAAGAATAACAAACCAACAAAATGCGATAGAGAGAGTACTATTAATGTTAATGCACATATTTTTATTGTTGTGGCATGAATTAAACTGTTTGGAGTATCCCGCCATGCATAATTGTCATTGAATATATTTAGGTTGTTATTTTTATTGTTGTGGCATGAATTAAACTGTTTGGAGTATCCCGCCATGCATAATTGTCATTGAATATATTTAGGTTGTTCACTTTTCTACTATTTTCAATTTTGCATGTTTTTATGAATTTTGTATTATAGTATTCTTATTATTGAATTAAACAAAATAATTTTGTATTATTGAATATATACATGTTTTTATGAAAATATGTATGTGAGATTCAATTTCTGAATGCTTGTATTCTTATTATCATGTTTCTTAATGCATTTCTTCGTTTTACCTTCCAAAAAAAATGCTTATGGAATTGATTAAGTTGTATTATTGTAGAATACTTAATATTATATATGACAAAAGAAACGTTCATATTCATAATTTTGTATGTATGGATGTTCAATGAGTAATTTAAATAGTGGAAACAGGTGCAATTAGGCTACAATCTAACTGGATATTTGTCCATACATGGATTTAAGTCGTGATAAACATTAGCTGCACATGAATTTTAAGGTAAAAAAAAAAAAAAAATTATATGTATATATATGACATTGTTGTTATATTTAGTGTTCTGAGAACTAGAATGGCCATTGAACCAGTGAAGGTAGGAGTTCATTGAATTAAAGAATACAATCGAGTTCAATACGGTACAACTGAATTTTATATATAATATTTTAAAATGCATTTATTAAATAAAATTAAAAATATAGGTTAAAAAAAACTTCATATCAAATAAAAAACAATCTCAAATTTGGCTTTTACAAAAAGAATTAAAAAATTAATAAATGATTTTATAGAAAAAGAATAAAATATTACTAAATTTAATACTTAAAAAATTAATTAATTATCATAAAATATATTATATTTTTCACATGTGGCTTTAAAATTAGGCAATTTAATTATTTTTTAATTAACACATTAGGACTTTAAATTTAGATATAAAGAGGTTTAAAAACCAAAAAATCAGCTCACACAATTTTTAAGAGCCTAAATTTTAAAAAGGCCCACATGTTTCAAAATAATCAAGAATTTGACATGTTTCAAAATAATCAAGAATTTGAATTGGATTGGTTTTTAACCGGTCCAGTTCACTGATTTTTAGCCCGTTTTCATCCGAATTTTACCGGTTCACTTCGATTTTTAAGATTGGCAGTTTTCTTATGCAACCCGGGCCGAATTTGTCACGATCCATTGCCATGGGCCGGACCGACACTAAAGCCCAAGTAGACTTAAGGCCATCGAAATCCGTAATAAACCTTTGACACTAGTAATATCCATTAAGTCCAATAAGGGTATTCACAACACAAACTCTATATGAATATATATACCTGAAAACCAAGGCCCAATTCGATATATCATCATCATCATTCGACAATTATTAATAACCCGAGCCTGTTTTATGATCAATCCATCAGCATTCATAAAAGTATCTATGGAACTTGCCCGACAATATTCAGCACTAAGTTTCATTCACAATTTTCAAATAATTATTCCTCGAGATCAGATATTTTGGATATCTTATTACATGTATTACTTTGCATGTAGTTACTTTTCCTAATGTAATTGCCGGATGCTCCACAAAAATTAATAGCAATAATGAAGAAAATTCCAGTTTAAGAAGAGCCTAATAAATTCAACTAATTTATTCTACCTTTAGCTCTATATAGAGGAAAGGATACAGAGCGCTTTACTGGCTAATATAGAGGCAGTACCAAGAATTCTTGAAAGAAATTAAGTGAATGCGGAAAATGAGTATCTCATTCAGTGCATAATTACCAAATAATAACATGCTCATATAGTCACACAAACATGCTCTAGGTAGTTCTAGTGAAAATTCAATTTTAAAACCACACACATACAATCAACAGCAGCCACAAACATATCATCTTTCACATAATCAAACAAATGGAGATTGGTACTGTAGATCACCAAACCTTGGACAAGCCATCCTCACAGGCATGGCGCATCCCTCAATAACATGTGGCACGCAGGGGAGCCGGATCCCCCCATTGGAAATGGCCGACCGAATCTAGAATCCTCACTTGACCAGCCCTCTCAATATTTATCTATTCCCTCTTTTCTTTTCCATTACCAACAGGAGGCCACCCCGAGGTTTTCTATATAATATATATAATCAAATGCACACGGGGGCGCCGATCTCCCTATACATGGCCGATGGTATCATAGACCGCCCTCAGAAACCTACAGTGACCCACTTCATCTTAATTCCACACAAACAATGCACATCATTATCACAACACATGTAATCAAGAAGTACAATTAAATGCAAGTACATCAAACAATTAAATACTATAATGCAAGTGCACAAATAGACATTCAGACAATTGCATAATGCCAGAGGATACAAATAAACAATAGAAAAGCAAGCAAAATGCTAATATAATAATTGTATTGGAAAATAAATAATAATAGACACACGTTATATAATAAATGATTTACGTATAATGCAAATAGTATGTGCTGTCTATTGTTATTTACAATGATGGATGAGGAAAGCCATAATTTGGATTCTAACTTGTTGGAGCTATGACGAACTAAAGTGATTCTAATGAAATGAAATTGGAAGGAGAGGTAAGAATTAAATAAAACATTCTCCTAAATAATAATAAAGGATTATCCTAAATAAATCTTACAACTTATTTACAAGTAAAATTAATATAGATTCTGTCAAAATTTCGGCAAAACCTCCCCTAAAAATTGGATGAAACCATCTGCTTAAAACTACAATTCAATAATATATTCTTAAAGCCCATCCATCGGGCAATGGGCATTTACAAAACAACTTAATCCAAACCAAATTCCGCCATAACCAATTATTTCATTCATATTTCTTAGTTTTAATCAAATGCTATATAATTACATGCTATATAATTACATTATCAACATAAAAAAACCACAAATAGTTATTTTTCCCTTATAGTGAACAGCTCAACTCATCCATATTTGAGCTACATGTTAGTACATTCTTTTACTAATAACTAAATTGCATTTTAATTAAGAAGAGTAGTTACTTGTTCTTAGGTTTATAATTTATACTTGGGAGGTATTAAAGTTCAAGGTTATATTTATATAGAACTAAAACTTCCTCAACTTTAACTCACAACAGTAATCGATTCTAGTCAAACTAAATTAACAATTATCTCATTAACTAACTAAGTCTTTCTAAGGTCTCGCTAACTACTATTTCATCCATTTCTGCGATTTTTCAGCTTACATTTCTGCGATTTTTCAGCTTAGAAGCCTGTGTACCAAATTTGCAATACTTCTTAGTTTATTAACTATTCTTAGTTTACTAACTCTGTTTCCACATATCTGGAATTAAGTAGCTAAACAATTCTATGTAGTTTCTGATTATTAGCTGCCTTGTAACAGGTCAGTTATGCAATACAAGGATAACTGAGTTCTGGACATTTTCGATTTTAAAAGTCTACACACAAAATAAACTAACGAACGATTTAACTATTAACCGAGGTCAGGTTGCAATTCTAATTGCATAGCAGAGTGACGCCGGCCACCGTCAACGTCCACAGTGGCCGGAGGGTGGCAGGCCCAAAATCTCGCCATCATACATCAAACCAAAGCAAGATTTATAAGGAGTTCAATTTTGCGATCAAACTCTAAAGAAAATACCATATTGTAACAAATCCTCAAATTTCACAACTTCAAAACCTAACATTTCAAAGTCCTTACAACTTCAAAACCTAACATTTCAAAGTCCTTCAATTTCTAAGCCTAAAGCTAAACTAATCTAAAGAATACTGAGTAGAAGCAGAAATGACTAGCTTTCGATTTACCTTAGTGAAAGAAACTACCGGAAAGAGGTTGGCTCGCCGAAAAATCGAAGAAGGGAAGCTATCTAATCCTCACAGCTTCGATTTGCGCTATTGGAGGTCTGTTCGGTGAGAAGGAAATAGTCAGCGGCAAAAGAGGAACATACCAATAGCAGTCTTGCGGATTGGGACTCGCCGGAAGTCGGAAAAGCGGGTCGGAAGAGGCTAGCGTCACCACAGGAGAGAGAGCATCTATTCGTCCTAGTCAAGCTCCAATCGGCGAAAGGGAGGCCCCAATCGGCGAAAGGGAGGCCGGAACTGAGATCGCCAGTGTCCAGGAAGTCGATCGCCACCTAGTTTCGTCGGTTTGGTGGCCGGAAATCTGATCGGAAAAAGGGAGGGGGAAATGGCAGTCTGCGATCGAGAAGAGGAGGTTTCAAGCTTAGAATTAAAGCATATTTTATAATAAAAATCTAGACAATTTATTTGTTATGTTTGAATTAATATTTTATTTGTATAAATTAAAAATTAAAAATTAAAATAATTAAAAATATGAAATGTGTTTAAAAGATATTTTCCATCCCTCTCTCACCAAATATCCCTCTCAGTCTATTTAACATTGAAAAACACTAAACAGAAAAGGGCAAATAATTCAATGCTCTTACCAATAATAGCATTTGCAGTAATAAATTTGAATCTGCTTCATTCTTGTATTAACAAACTACAACAGAATATGTAATTCAGGCTTATAGGAGCCAAAAATTCAGGCTTCTCATGTGGTAATGAGTATTTTTCAGATGACTTGTAAAATTGAGAAGCTGCTTTTATTTGCAAATACATGGAAATCCAAATTTCTTACGGACTTGGTGTAGCAAACATTCCTGGAGAATTTTTGGTCTAAATGCTTGTCGTAAACTCAATAAATACATATCCAAATCGAACTCACTGTCTTTTATTCATAAGCAAACTTCAAACCATGGCATATCTAAAATAAGTTTTACCTATTACTTGTTAATGGAATAGACCTTTGTTAATGGAAGGAATAGACGACCAAATAACAACTTGGAAAAAGTATCATACACAAAGTAATAATATGACAACACAAACTGCTCAGTATGATGAAAAAGCCTTCCTTGCCAATAAGGATTGACATGAAGAATAGTGATGACCCCCACAAAGAAAATTGAAAAGATACTGAGAAGCTTACGAAAAAGACCAAATGGTCAATCTCATACCATTTTCCATCTTCTGGTTCTGCATATGGCATTGGTGATGAATTCAGTGACTCGTGATTATTAGCTCAGGGAGTTATTAGCTCAGGGAGTCATAAGGATATTTTCACCCCTTCGGAGGGATAAGGTTGCTGTGTTGCAGGCTTGAGTATTGGAGGGATAAGGGTTAATTATTTAAATACATTATAATTGAATGAGTCTTGTGGTTAGGATTCTTAGGGTGATTAGTTCACTTACTGGTGATATTTTGCATTATTCACGCCTATTCTACGGCAACTTCTGTTATTAGTTTTCTTATTTAAAGTCGTACATGTACTGCTTTAAGATATATTAAAAAAAATCCAATATTCTTTTGCAATCTACGTCTTTCTCACTTTGTCATCGTGGTATCAGAGCAAGTGACGATCCTTTCACCATGACTTCTTCAACCTTGAATGTTGCAAATTTCGTCACTCTGAAACTAAAACAAACAAACTACCCTCTTTGGAGAGAACAAGTTTTGAGTTTAGCTGTTTAGCTGAAAGTTCAAAGAGCTCTCAGATCTAACTTTGAATAATGGGATTCCCTGAGGATCAGAAATTTCAAAAACCCCTCCAAACCCATTACTCGAGAAAAACCTACCAACCACAACAATCAAGACGCTTTCAAAGAGCTTGGCAAAGTCCGACCGATTGCTCCGCGGATGGATTTTTATGGAAACATTAAGTTGAGGAATCACTTCGGCTTGTTTCCAACGGATGTAGAAACAGTTCATACTGTTTGGAGGCATTAAAAGATGCGTAATGCTGCAAGACTCTCAGGAAAGCAGAGGTTTACTCTTTCAGAACTAACAATTGACTGCTACGGTGTTCGGCAAAGAAGAGAATCGGTCAATCACAAAGAACACTCTTTCGTCTGTTAAGGAGAATTTGCGATCAATTTAGCAGCAATCGAAAAAAAGGTACCCGATGGGATGAAAAAGTGTTTTGTCTCCTCACCAGTGCCTGGGACCTCAATATGAGACATTCCCACAACGAAACGAATGCTCAAAGCCACCACGACCATCGTATAATGAACTAGTCTCGCAGGCTTAAAAATCATGATCAGCGACGTAACATGGTTTCCACATCAAACCTGAAACTGGACTTGAAAGCAAATTGCTTCCCATGTGGCCCTTCCTTTTGGAATCACAGAAATCCGTCTAATCGGCGCCAGATTTAACTCCAAGGGCGTGGCTTCCCAGCTCAACAAACACAGGGACATAAATCAAGAGCAAAGAAGACGTACTCCTCTCAACGACGACCTCCTGCCTGCCAGGGCGTAGAGATGACACCGAGCTGAGCGAAGAACAGTAACAAAAAATTGAAGTTTTGTCAGTAACTGCGGCCCTGAGACGGTCCATATGCGCAAAAATTTGCCTGTGGATTCCACAAGAAAGAAACAGAATAGTCTTCCTCAAGCACTCACCTGCACTCGTACACGTTGATAATGATGTCGATTGACAAACTTTGATATGGTTTGCAGATTCCCGGCGCATACGAATCATATGACAAGGTAACAAAAAACTATTACAAAAACTTGTAATAATTACCACCATGGTAAATGATTCCATAACCAATCAGGAAGATGGAACCTTTCTATCTATTGATGGTGTGGAATGACTTCCATAGAAAAACGTTACCTCTCTCATGTTTATATGTTCTGTCTGCATTTGCTATCTGTTGGCAAATTGAGACCTCGATACCCTGTTATTGGGAGTTTTTCTAACGTTCTTCCTATTTCTGTTAGGATCGACAACGGGACAGGTTTTGTGCTACGAGGCAACCGGAAACCATAATCTTATATTACTGTCAGTGCTCCCAGAAGCGTATTTTATACCATACGGAGTTTAGACATGCTTATATTATTAAGCAGACATTTGGGCATGCAACGCTTAGGACATCCTCAATCTACTCCTGCTATTTTCTGTTTTATTTAATAAGTAAACCTAATTGAATGTAAAAGGGTTCCTTGCACTCTAAATTTTTATGTGGATAGCTGCCATTAGGCAAGTTGAGTAAATTTCCATTCTGTTTGTCTCAAAAAAATAAGTAACATCCATGTTTTGAAAAAGTTTCATTGTGAATTTATGGGGACCAGCCCTGTAGTGTCTTTATGACTAATTCCCAAATATTATGCTTGCTTGGTTGATGACTATTTCTAAGTATTCATGCTAATACCTCCTGCGAAAAAAATCTGAGTTTTTGTTGCTTTCAAAGCTTTTGAACCAATAATGTGCCTGGGCGACAATATGGTAAGAAAATCAAAAATTTTCCACTCAGATATGGCGGAGGTGAAGTTTTTTTTAAATACTTCTTTAATCTTCGCATTTCTCTCAGCTCAGGGAATTTAAACATCAAAGTGGTCCCTGTCCATCCTACACCTGAAAAACAGGTGCTGTAAAGAACGACGACAACCCGTGTTTATCCGAGAATTGGATTACTATGATGTATGCAAAGCCATATGCCGTTGAACAATGTGGGTAGAGGCATTTCAAAGCAGCGGTTTTTTTTTTGATAAATACGATTGCCTACTACAGTGTTTAGGAACATGAAACAC